AGAGAGAGAGAGAGAGAGAGAGAGAGAGAGAGAGAGAGAGAGAGAGAGAGAGAGAGAGAGGGAGGGAGGGAGAGATAGATAGATAGATAGATAGATAGATGGATAGATAGAGAGAGAGACTCTAGTTGAACAGCGAGTCAATTCGCAGTTATCAAGGTTGATGTCAGGTCGTGATCTGTTTGGTGACTGACCACCTTCCAGAAGTGTCAACCTACACGAAGTGCCAAACAGTCGGCGGTTAGACGACTCCAGTGCTAAAAGCATTCTTAGGGGACCTTGCGGTCGTGTTCAGAACATATTGGCGTACCACTAGATGCTCGCGAAGCAGTTCTGGATGTCTGTTATATCGACACATCATAAGATGCCTTACAAGCAAGCAGCGACTGCTTACAGGACCTTCTACCCGGTATGGATCTTTGAGAGCAGAGTTTCGCACTCCACCGTGAGATCCACGTCGGATAGGTGGACCTGCCATCCTACTGCTCTTAGTTGTAGTCATCTTGAGGGAGTCGATGAGGTAAGGACCCGGCAAAGAAAACTCTCAGTGGACTTTGCTGCCGTGTTTTTGGAACTTATTGGCGTAGCACTAGATGCTCACCAAGCAGTTCTAGGTGTCGGTTATATCGACAAATCATAAGATGCCTTACAAGCAAGCAGCGGCTGGTTGCAAGACCTTCTACCCGGTGTGGATCTTTGAGAGCAGAGTTTCGCACTCCACCGTGAGATCCACATCGGATAGGTGGACCTGCCATCCTACCGTTGTTAGCTGTAGTCATCTTGAGGGAGTCGACGAGGTGAGGATCCGACAAAGAACACTGTGAGGGGACTTTGCTGTCATGTTTGGAACATATTGGCGTAGCACTAGATGCTCACTAAGCAGTTCTGGATGTCGGTCATATCGACACATCATAAGATATCTTACAAGCAAGCAGTGACTGCTTGCAGGACCTTCTACCCGGTGTGGATCTTTGAGAGCAGAGTTTCACACTCCACCGTGAGATCCACATTGGATAGGCGGACCTGCCATCCTACCGCTGTTGGCTGTAGTCATCTTGAGAGTCGATGAGGTGAGGACCCGGCAAAGAACACTCTTAGGGGACTTTGCTGCCGTGTTTGGAACTTATTAGCGTAGCAGTAGATACTCACCAAGCATTTCTGGATGTCGGTTATATCGACACATCATATGATGCCTTACAAGCAAACTGTGGTCGGATCCCGTCCCCCATCCCGGGCGCGGATCTATGAGAGCAGATTTGACGCAATCCACCGTTAGACCCACATCGGAGAGGCGGAGCGGTCATCCTACTGCTGTTAAGTGTAGTCATCATGTGGGAGTCGACATCGCAAGAACCCGACGATGTTCCAATGGGGACGTGCTCTTGTTTCGTGATGTGCAGGTGCTTACTGGCGGTGCGTTCGATCCCCTCCTTGACGTGAAGCAAAGTTAGAGGGAATTGCTCATGGCTCACAGCAGAAGTGCGATTGAACTCGCACTTTGATGGAGAAGCAGTTGCGCAGTCCATCAGCGGGACGATTTAATATGGACATTGGCTTGTCATTTGTATATTACAGGTTGAAAACGCCATCAAATCTTTCTGTGTAGAAGATTCATATCCATTCATACAAGTATCTCTTGTCATCGCAAACATCAAGATGAAAACATCTCAAGTGAAATTGCAAAGCACACAGAGACATCGCAAACAACGAGGTGAAAATATCTCAAGTTGCCTACTGTTTTTCCAAAGGTGAAGTCTCACAGCACACGAACAGTTTCCAGAAACCATTCAATGCAGAAAATTCATTCAAGGGCAAATTGCAAAGCACGCAAAGACGTTTAAAAAAATCATTGAACGCAAAATATCATACAATCCCACATTGCAAAGTGCACGGAGGATTTCCAAAAATCACAAAGTACATGGAGCCAAAGTGCGAATATGTTCTCATTTCTCATATGGAACCAACAGTTCAATCACAAATGTACAGCATCCAAAGTCCGAATATATTCGCACTTTTCATACGGAAACAATAGCCAGTATTCCGTGGAGATCACGAGATGTATTCCGGGGATAACAAAATTGGTAATCATTTAGTGCACCGCTGAATCCGTAAAACAACTTCAAGCATACATACCTTCTGGCGACAATTGGTTTCCGAATGGAAAATAAGTTTGCAACAGTCATAAGGAACCAACAGACAATATTCAATGGAGACAAGCAGAGGGGGTGAACCGTAAAACGGGGCGGCACACGCGGAAGAAGGGCGAGCCAAAACATATGAAAGCTGGGTGGTCGGGGTGGGGCGGGGGAGAGGGGCTTTCACACCACAAAGTCTCGCGAACGAAAGAGATAAGCATGAAACAATTTGGCGACCAAGAATAAATCGTCGACATGTTTCACATGAGTAACAGAGGAGCACCACCTCGAAACGAACAAACGCAGCACGATGCTGCCGTGGTCTGAGAGGACATAAGGAGAACAACCCGAAAATAAACAAAAGGAGCACAAAGTTGGGATATTCACATCCGATATGTAAGCGTCTACTTAAAAGGAACTGCACCACGTGGCTGGGATATTTACATCGACATCTAAGCTTCTACTTCACGTAAGCGTCCGCTGCTACCCTCTAGCAAATGTTGCGCGACAAGCAATGAGAACAACCCGAAAACAAACAAAGGCAGCACGACGCTGCGGAAAGTCCTACGAATAAAGATGACAGGTTCCACGAAATGAAGAACCCTTAAAAAATTGCTACAACACGAGACTGGGATATTCACATCGACACCTACGCGTGTACTTGACCAAAACGTCCACTCCAATCCGGTACCTCATCAAAACAACAGCACAGCTCGAACCGGCTGACTGCTAGATCAGGTGGGAATAGATTCGCACTTCTGCTTATGACCTTTGGAAAAAAAACTACGTGTATTTTAACAACAGGGGTATTATTCAGAGCCTTCAAGTATGTCCACCGCAATCCTCAGCCTGATGTTTGTAATGTCACTTTGGGCTATCGGAAATGGTGGCGGATAGCCGCGTGCAAGAAAAGAAGGGAAGGCGAGCATGAAAACAGCGCAGCTCGACCCGTCCGACTGTTGAGCGACACCATGAGCAACCACCTTGGGCGCCGTGAGATCCAGTTTGGCTTGTTGACCATATCGACAAACCGCTTCGTCACGGAGGTATTCCGTGAAGTTCGCAAGCACATAGGAAGAAAAACCGCCATCATCTTGCAGTAGGGAGTCGTAGTACTCCAGCCCTTGTTCTCGGACACATAAGAGGGTCCAATGCACTCGATTTTTATGGACAGGAGTCAAGACCATGCCGTACGAGAAAATATCCACATCTTTTGTCCATTTCGCAACCCTTTCATGTCGATATTCGCCACCGACGAGCTTGGTAAAGAAAAAAGGACTGAAAATGTAAAGAGAGGCCTCGCTAGGGAACGCAGCGTTGGCAAGCAAGGCCAAGTATGACTCCACCACCTCGTCGGAAAGCCATCCCCCCTAGATAAGAGTTTGAAGACTTTTTCTTATCAGCGGAATCGAACTGGGACCTATGCGAACCGAGGAAACCACCTCGTGGTTGTTGCTGAAATCTCCGCGAACAATCTGCAGCATTCTGAAGTCCGTAGCGCTAAACTCCTCAGTAGGCAAGGGAACGCGAATACATGATGTAGCCCCAGCTGCACAAACACCCACGAACAAGTGTGAGGAGTGAGCATAAACCCCGGGGCGGAATGGCTTAGAACTGTCTGCCATTTTCCCAGAAAAGTTGTATCCCCGACTGTTGAATGTGTCATTCACGATGTATTTAGGACACGGGTCTTTCAAGACACCCCGTTTGCCATCGTCATAAGACCCATCAGACAAAGCAGTAACGCTCTCAATAGACGCAGCCAAATGTTTCCGCAGACCTTCCTCCTTATCTATTCCACAAGCCTTCAGAGCCCTGCCAGCTCTCTGGGAAAGGCGAGGCATCTGCAACCTTTTAAACAACCCTACACTTGACGACTTCTTCCGTGAAGCGGCCAATGACCTCCCTGAAAGACGTTTCTCGCGCACGGCTTTTAAAGGCTTCATGGGCAGGGACATTAATAACCTCACACCTGTAGAACATAGAAAACAACCCACATCCCACAAACTTTTCTTAACAAGTGGTAATAGGTACATTAGCCCATGAGATCAATTTGGACGAACACAAAGCTGGCTAGTGACAGATATGTGAGTGGTCCTGTTCACAAATCTTACCGTGCTCGGGAGCCCTTTGAGGGAACTCGCCCTCCTGTCGCGCCACTGCGCCAACGTCCACGAACGATTCGAGGTTCTGGACCTCGGCCACGGCTGTGTCGCTAACCAGCTCAGTGGCAGCTGAGTCGCTTGGGAAGTCGATGGCTTCATGAAGCACCATTTCCCGACCGGTACTGAGGACAGATGCTCGATCACCCTGTTCGGCACCGCAACGGGTGGACGGAGAATCCTGATCTTTCCGCAGTGGATCCATCTTGATGTTGACGGCCACCTCACCGCCTTCCACGGAGGATTCGATGTTTTGCATCTCGGCCATGTTTGAGTCGCTAACCAGCTCGGTGGCTGCCGAGTCGTCACCCAACTCTCTGGCTTCATGAAGCACCATTCCCCGAGTGGTGCTTAGGGCAGACGGTCGACCACCCTGTTCTTCACCGTAACGAGTGAGCAAACAATCACCATCTTTCCGCTGTGGATCCGTCCGGATGTCGACAGTCACCTCACCGCCTTCCACCACGGGTTCTCTGCCTTTCTCATCGCCATGAACCCGAGCTTCCACTGTGGGTTCCTCTCCGTCTTCATCGTTGCCAAGAACGGGAGCTTGCACGGACGTTCACTGACCTTCCGTCACAACACCCTCTCGCGTCGTGGCCACTATCGAACGACTGTGCAGAACCTCTTCGGACGTCTCGATCACCAGCGCTCGTGCGTGGAGCCACTTCACGTCTTCACGAGCCGGCCCGTGTCGAGTCTCCTCATCCCGCTGTAGAGCATGTGTTTCCCCCGGAGCTCATGCACTCTCGCTGTCAGTGTCCACGGACGCACCCTTCGAAGCATGACGTTCACACTCGCTACCCCCGGTCTCCAACACTTTGCGAGACTGCCAGCGTTGAGTCTCCTCTTCCCGATGTACAGCACGCGTTCCCGAAGAGCGCTCCTCTTCCCCAAGAGTGTGACGTTCGTGCTCGCTACCCCCAGTCTCCAACACTCCTGCAGCGGGCCCCTCCAGCACATCGCGAGACCGCCAGTGTCGAGTCTCAACACATGAGAACAGAGGCGAGTAGGGCAACCCTGTGTCCAACTGAAGATGCGGGGGGAAGGACGTGACATTTTCTTGGCCCCGCGGAACTGTTGCGTGAGGAGCACTTATGGCGGAGGGCGACGTCAGCAAATCCGAATGTATTCGGAGTTTGTGGCGGTCGCCCGAGCCGAGGGAGCCGAAGGTCGCACCTTCGCTCCTTCGCAATGCAGGCATCTCACCCTCCAGGCAAAACGAAGACGCGCCCTCTTTCAGGAGCAAGGTGTTGAATACAGGAGACCTCTGCTGCGCACGGCGGGATGGACTCTCCTCGGCAACGGGAAACAAAGTCCTCGCAGACAAGTGCGAATCTACTCGCACTTGATCAGAAGTGAGGGTGGCCTCGTCTCGCATGTCGGAATCTCGACTCCCTACGCAGTGAGGGTCAGTTTCCATATACTCGGGACTCCCGGACGTTCTACGCTTTCCGCCCGACCCCTTCCCGCCCGACCCCTTTCCGCCTGAGTCCTTTTCGCCTGACCCCTTTCCGCCGGACGCCTTCTCTACCGACGATGTCTCGCCCGTCCCCTTTCCGACAAACTGTGAGCCGTCTCCTCCGCCACCTCCGCCGTCTCCTTCGTCTCCTCCTCCACCCCCTCCCGGATGCTGACCGCCCGACGGAGGTTGCGGCATGCGCCAGTCAATGCCACAAGACGGTGCCGTTTTGAGTGTGTAGAAAAGCGCTCGAAACTCCAACATGTTGTTGGCGTACAACTCATTTAGCTTTTGTTCTGCGTACGCAGCGACGTCCGGATCGTTCCTCTCGGGGTTCATAAAACTCAAATGCTCTACCAAAGCAGTTCTCGTCGTTCTCTTAAATGCACCCGCTCCCAGTCTCTTCAGTCCACTCCACTTGCCATCGGCCTCCTTCATTGCCATGACCCACATTCCATTCCTCACAGCAGGTTGGAATATCCTCGGGTGCCAGACAACGTTGTGTCCTTAGACATCCTCCGCCGTGAACCGGTGATGCTTGCCGAAGAAGTAGAGTCTGTCACTCTGCCAGGTGTCGTGGTCCTCAGGGAGCCTGTCACAAGCTTCGTGATCATAGTCTCTGTCTTCCTCCCCGTCATCAGACGATTGGTCGTCGACTGGTTCGCCCCGAAACACACGCTTCAAACCGGCAAGGGACGTGCTATATCTCCGAGCGCCACCTTCCTCTTCATCACCAACCTTTCCAACCACCCGAGGAAGTGGCATGGACTCGAAATCGAAGGTTTCGGAGTCACTCAACTCCTCCATGTCTTCAGCGTCGAAAGGGTCCTTCTCGTCAAACTGTGACTTGTAGTTTTTGAGGGTGAGCGGTTCGGCCAGCGTGAAGTAAACGTGCTCCAACCTTCTCAGGAAATGCGAGACAGACTCCCTGGGTGCATCATGGTACCCATTGAGCACACCGAACACCAGGTTTCCTTGTCGACTGTATTCGAGGTCGGTCGGACCAGTTTGTCCGGGTTGGAAAAGGAAGTCCCAAACCTCCGTCCTTTTGTTCCTCGGCATTTTCCAATACATGTCACATTTGGGATCCCAATTTTGTTCGCCGGTGGTGTGGACAAACTCGCAAGCATTGCGAGTGTCTGCAACGCGAGTCTTCATGAACTCGTGAAGGTAATCGATCATCTTCGCCTCCTTCTCCAACGCGACGATGTTCCAACCGGTGCGGAGGTGTTCCCACACGACAGACGCATGCGCCTTCCCAAAGAAAAAAACAGTTTGCCCAGCTTTGCAAAAGTTTTCGAGTAGACCAAGTAGACGGGACGGGTTCCGCTCCATCTCCCCGTAAGCAGGTCCTTGAGAACTTGTCACGCCGCAGTCCTCCCACATGCTACGAGAGAACCTTTCCTCTTCGTCGTCGAAACACGCCACAGCCTGTCCTGATGGGTCCGACGAACACAAAACTTTCGAGCAGGCCGCCACCGTGTGTTTGGCCGGACTTGGACCATGAGCACGGGAAGCCTTTGTCGGGTAGACTGCGAATGTGTTGTCTTCCAACTTTTCACCATGAAAAATCACGTACAGGCGGTCACACTCCTCAACCAGCACATTGCCTTCCCAGACAGTGGCCTGCTTTTGTGCATTGCGCACCCACTTCCCTGTCCTGACGTGATGGACGCTAAGCCTGGCCATGCCTTTCAAGAAACTGAGCTCCCAACGAGAGGGGAAAAAAAACACAATTGCCCAGTGCGTTGGCGAAAGTGTTTGGAGAACGCCTTGCAAGTTAGCGAAATCATCTTCTCGCCAGTCTGTGAGGATTGTGGGATGACACAAATCGAGGACGTACAGGTTGCACACGTAATGTCGCACAACCTCACGGATCGCAGTGACATGACTGTGAGCTTGGGAAGGCGGGAAAGGGAAGGAATAAGGCTGGTCACCCGGTTCAGGTCGGGCCATTTGATGTGCCTCCAGAAGCTTCCCCTCGGTCCGAAAAAAAAGGCTCCCGTGGCGCCAAACACGTTCGTCCTCCTCCGTTTCAAGGAACAAGATGTAGTGGAACATACGGAGCATCACACGGTCCACTTTCCTCGTCGCGACCATGTCTTTAATTCCTGCTTTATACTGAGGCTTCAGATGCCCGCCCGTGGATTGCACGAACACTCCCCTTAGTGCAAGAATGTCGTCGAGGATCGACAGTTTCCCGACATCGGTCATGTCGGCGAGACACTGCCAACAGAACATGTCTGGCTCCTTCACGACCACGAAAAACTTGTCGTCCGCTTGCGTTTTCTTTTTGGTCGGAGGCGGTGGGACCCGGACCAGCCACCCCATCTTCGTTTCACCAGCCGCTCCTTTCTAGCCCATTTTCGGAATTGCTTGCATACCCGGAGATTTGTCTTGCATGTATTTGCCCGGCCGCGACAATGGCGTCTTGCCGTCGCCGCCCAACAACTTCCCCTCCGCCCATTTCGTGTAGAACTCCATGGCTTTGCGGAAAACGTCATCACCGGCCGTCACGAGCGGCATCCACTGCCTCAATGCATTGCCAACGGCAGCGACATACTCCTTGTCGGCGAGCGACAAATCTTTTTTTGCCAACACCCAGTGAGATTCGTTCGGACTCTTTCCCAAAATCAGCTTTTGGAATTCGAAAAACTTTCGTTTGTCGGCCTCCTTGCTGGAAGGGTTCCCTTGAATGGCCATCGGTCTTCCTTCTTTCTCCCATGCCTCCCGCATGTCCAAGAACGCGGCCTTCTGCGATCGCTGCTTAGACATCTTGGTCTCGTGTTCTCGTTGAGACTGACCTGCCTATAGCCTGCGAGAAACTCGGTCCGAGAACCACACTACTCTCACCGGCCACGAGTGCATCTTCCACAAATCGAATATTGGCTCACCCTCCAACTCCTTCACAGTAGCCACAATGTGTTGACCGTTAACAGGGTTATAGTAGTACTTGTCCTTGTCCTCTTGCTTGAAGACATCTTTGTGAACCCTGTCAACTTTCTCAGGCCTACGCGTCACCGGCTTGTAGATGGGTGCCAGAACCAAAGGGTTTTTCGTCAGATCTTCTCCCTTTTCTCGTGGAATTGACTCATCATCGCAGCCTTGATGTCGTCCACAGTTTCGCGATTTAGACTGCGGTGGTTGTAATATCTTTTCCAAGACGGGATGTCGCAGACCTTCCTGGGGTCTATGAGCAGTTGGACGGGGAGCTCCCTCTCCACGATTTCACCGCCATCGTTCCGCTCGTATTCGAGCCAGAATGTTGCCGCTTCGTCACACTCCTTACCGACAGGCCGTTCGCCCCCGCTCGCCGCCTCAGCAGTCTTCCGCCTTCGAGGTTTCTTCTGGCCATCGCCTTCTTCAACTGCCACTTTCCGTTTCGATTTCCCCGAAGGTTCTCTCGCGGCCGCAGCGCCTGGATCAATCGAATCTCCTCCACCCACAGCTTGTCCTTCGCGGATGGTCAAACCGCCGGGCCTCCTCGCTTTCTTACTTGCCGTCCTACCCTCTTCCTTCGGCGGCTTCTTTCCCGAGGCACGTTCTCCGACGTCACCTCCATCCCCGCCCATCACCGCCTCCGATTTTCCTCTCATCCTCTTCATGCGGAGGCTTCCTTCCGCCACCTCCGCTCGCACCATCCTCTGTCGCTCGCGCTTCTTCTCCGAAGGAGTCTGCTCCCCGCCAGAGCTTTCGCGGACAGCGCCCATCCCTTCAGCCTCATTCCCTCCGACATCTTGCCCCGATCTGCCGGATTCTCTTCTCGTCTCATCTCGAAGCGAATACGTGTCGCCGCCGCAGCGGACCTTGATGAGTTTCGGAGTACCGTCCCGTTGACTCCCTGTACCCTGAGAATGCAAGTCCGACGTGTTCCCAGGAGCATCTGGGCCGACATGCGTGTGAACGCTGCGCCCCTTGACCCGACCCCCAGCGTTTTGAATCGGACTCCCGCGCCGCACTGCCGCACCTGGAGTTTCTTGAGCCAAGCCGGACGATCCCTCATGGGGTGACAGAAGACAAAAAACATGTTCTCGCGGAAGAACCGGACATTTTTTCGACACCATCAACGCGAGATCGAGATATTGCTCTGGCGATGGAAGACGCTTGCTGCCGCCATCGTAAAACCCTTTGAAGTGAGAGCACAACGTCATGATCAAGCCGTACACCGCGAAACTCTTGATGGTCACCAGCACACCCTTAACACCTTTGAGAGGCAGTCTATACTCGTCGTACAAGCCGTTAGTGTGCAGCTTCAGCAAACCTCCAGGAGTCTTGGCGCACGAGACGATGGTACCGAGAGGAAGAACGTTGTCTGGTCCCCCAGCGTCCGGAACGCAAGTGGATCGCATGAAAACAATTGGCCCGAAAAGGTCCCCCTGAACAACGAAGTCCAAAAACCATTGTGCTCCCATTGCGTGCGTATACTGAGGAGTTGATTGCTGAAGAGGTCGTCCCTCCCCGGGGGCATATGGTCCAGCGCTTGTGGATGTGTTCTTTGCGGACGCCATTGTACTCCCACCCGGCGTTGACTAACACGCCCAACCTCAGACCAACTCGGATGACTAATACGCCCAACCCCAGACCACTACAGAAGCGAAGTGCAAACTAACTCGGACTTAACGAAACGGAGGACGAAAAGGACGTAAGAGATGGGTGTTCGAAATGCACATGAAGTCACAACAATCGGGTGAAGGATAGGAAAGATAGCAGTTCTCTGGCAGAGTGCGAACGAGCTCGCTGTCGTAGAATCGAGGAAGGGGTGATTTATCTTCAGGAAAGTACGAACTAACTCGGAGTTTCGGGAATGAAGTCGTCTACAACAAGCACCGCATGGGTATCGACAAGGGGGAACCGACGTGCAGTTTTGGGCTCAAGGAAACCGAAGAATGAGGTTGGTGTTTGAAATGCAAACGAATACAAAACAATTGGGTGGCTGACAGAGTGAGTTTGGAGGGAAGACGACAACTCTCCGGAAAGATTGCGACCTGACTAGATGCCCTCGAATTGAGTAAGATGTGGTTTATCGACAAGTGCGAAGGGTGTCGACAAGTGCGAACTGACTCGCAGTTCTGTAGACAAGACAACAATGCCAACCCGCAGCACTAGGGGAAAGTGCGAACTAACCCGGAATTGTGGAACTGAAGACCTGAAAGACGCACGAAACGAGTAAGATGTGGTTTATCGACAAGTGTGAAGGGTATCGACAAGTGCGAACTAACTCGCAGTTCTGCTGACAGGACAACAATTGCAACCCGAAGTACAAAGGGAAATTACGAATTGACTCGGAATTGTGGAACTGAAGACCTGGTTTATCGACAAGTGCGAAGGGTGTCGACAAGTCTTAACTAACTCGCAGTTCTGTAGACAAGACAACAATGGCAACCCGCAGCACTAGGGGAAAGTACGAACTAATTGGAATTGTGGAACTGAAGACCTGAAAGTCGCACGGGATGGGTTATCAACTCCTCCTGCACTGTTGCTAAAAAAGTGCGAACTAACTCACATTTGTGGAAATAAAGAACTGCCTTTAATGAAATATTTGTTTAACCTTGGAAAAACTGCGAATTATCTCGGAGTTGTCACTCCTCGAACACTGTACGTCGCAAATTGGGAACTGACCCGCAATATATCTCTCTCTATATATATGTATCTATATTTTATATATATATATATAT